CAAGCTCGGATCTGTGATAACTAGTTTATTCTATAATGTTTAAGTCTGTTTTCATAAAACTAGTCGATTTAGTTAACAAAGTAGCTAAGGATATATATTAGGTGATTCTTCCGTGCTCATGTACAAATATAAATATTTTAAAATAAATATATTATTATAGCTGGTTGTTTGTACTTCAAATTTAAATAATTTTATAATTTACACTACAAAAAAACAAGGTTCGTAGCATCACTTATATTGTATCACAAAATTTATTGACACGAATTAGAATTACTTAAAACTAAGTAATGCCAATTATACAGTTTTACATCAGTTCTTATATGTGATGTCAATGTAAATTCTTTAGTGTCGGGTCATTACAAGTGATGCGAAAAAGTACATATTTATATCATTTTTACCAACTAATGATAATCTAGTTTCGGGTAATGACAAGTGATGCTAATAAATACATATTTTGTATCATTTTTACCAACTAATGATAATCTAATGTCGGATAATGACAAGTGATGCTAATAAATACATATTTGTATCACTTTTAACAACTAATGGTAATATAGTGTCGGGTCATTACAAGGGATGCTAATAAATATATATTTGTATCACTTTTAACAACTAATGCTAATATAGTGTCAGGTCATTACAAATGATGCTAATAAATACATATGGTCGTATTTTGATTTAGGGTTTTCAAGAGAAGCCTATCACCGTAAATTACCACATCTTTTCTCTGTTAATCTACTGATGGCATAATAGTGACAAGTAATATTGAGTTTTATTGATTTCTCTTTTATTGATTTGGTTCCATTGATTTCTTGGAGAGGATGTTGATGCACTGAAACAAAAATTTAAACAATATATAATGAACGTAACTACGGTTCATAGTCCGTGAAAAAGAGAGATAATTAAAAATATATTTAACAGTCACATTAGTCTGGTAGCTAGGTTTCTTCACAGAAACTGGCAACTATGTAATGTTATGATTAATTAACTACTTTATAGTGTGAATGAGCTTTTTCTAGGAACCAACAACAAAGGAATGTTCCTTGCAGTTAATAGCCAAAAAAAATTGTAGTACAAATATATCAGCACTGTAAAAGTAAAGAGTGGTCTGTATTGATACTTCGTTTGAGTTTCTTGCTCTTGTTTTTAATATATCAGCACAGTAAAAGCAAAGAATGGTCTGTATTGATAAAAGTTTAGTTTACTGTTGTTTCTTACTCTATTTTTAATTCACTAAAACAGAGCCTCGTGTCTCTATTTCTTTTAATTTCCCTGCACCTGTTTTCTTTTATAACTAAATTTGTATATATGTATATTTCTTAGGTCATCATGGACAAGTCATGGATAAACAAGTCTCGTTTATCTCAAGACTATTCAAATGGCGTAAAACAATTCTTAGATTTTGCTTTTGGAAAAATTAAAGTGGACATGTTAAAATGTCCATGTAATCATTGTTCTCTATCCAAAGCGAAGGTAAGACAAGATATTGAAGGTGACTTAATGTGTTTCGGATTTCTAAGTTCTTACACAGAATGGGTTTTACATGGAGAGGATGTCAATACTACTGCAAAAGCAACATAAATCCTTCGTGCTCCCGATGACTCTAATTCAACGGCAAATCTCTTGGATGACCTCTTTCCTATAATCAACATGAATACATATGCTAGATCTAGTTCTTCTGACCAACCAATCGATGATGATAACCCATCAGGTACCAGCGGTGAAACTAGTTTTGATGAGTTGCTTGCTGATTTCAATCAAAACCTCTACCCTGGCTGCACTGAACTTACAAAGTTGACATTCATACTGAAGTTGTATCATATCAGGTGTATGTGCGGTATCAGCGATAAGGGAATTTCTATGGTGCTTGAATTGCTTAAAGAAGCCTTTCCAAAAGCAAAATTCCCAGACTCATTCGGTGACATGAAAAAGGTTATTCGCAAGCTTGGGCTGACATATGAATTAATCGATGCATGTCCAAACGATTGTATGCTATATTGGGAGGCAAATGCTGATAGAGAAACATGTGTAATTTGTGAAGCATCTAGATGGAAAGGTGGTAGTTCTACAGTTAGTGAGGCATCTCAGTCTACAAAGAAACTGAAACAAATTCCTGCAAAGGTCTTACGTTACTTTCTTTAAAACCCCGTCTACAATGACTATTTATGTCGTCAAAAACAGCTTCGGATATGAGATGGCATGCAACTGATCCTGATGGTGGTGGAAAGCTTAGACATCCTCGAGACGGTGGAGCTTGGAAGGCTTTTGATTTACAGTTTCCCGAATTCGCATCAGATCCATGAAACGTTCGTCTTGGCTTGGCCACTGATGGTTCTAACCCATTTGGTACATTAAGTACAAATTATAGTATATGGCCAGTGATCCTATTTCCATATAAACTTCCTCCATGGATATCTATGAAGCAAACATCAATGATTCTTTCTATGATTATTCCTGGAAAGAAAATGCCTGGAAATGATATTGATGTTTTCTTGCAGCCCCTTATCAAAGAACTAAAGGAGTTATGGTTTGATGGAATTCAAACTCTGGATGCTTTAACAAATCAGACATTTAGCATGAGAGCAGCTCTTATGTGGACAATAAGTGACTTTCTAGGTTTTGGAAATTTATCCGGTTGGAATACTTATACAGCATTGGCATGTCCAACCTGCAACTATGATGCCGTTGGTCGACGTTTACGCTATGGAGAAACGAATTGTTTTATGGGCCATCGCCGTTTCCTTCCCATAAATCATAAGTATCGGCAAAACAAAGCTACTTTTGATGAAACTGTAGAACTGAGAAATCCACCAGTTTCACCAACAGGTTCTACAATTAAAGATCAACAAGGAAGAGTTAATATTACTCTTGGAAAGAGACGTGACTTGGTTGGTAAAAAGAGAGACCGAAGTGGTATAGAAATGTGTGATGATCAACAGTGGAAAAAGAAGAGTATATTTTTTGACTTGCCTTATTAGGAATCTATGGTCCTACGACATAACTTAGACGTTATGCATATAGAAAAAAATGTGTTTGACAATGTTGTTTACACATTGTTAGACGACAAGGGGAAGTCAAAAGATAACTTAAGCGCTAGAAAAGATCTCTGTGAGCTTAGTATTCGCTCTGAGTTGTGGCCTGATAATAATGATAATTATGCACCAGCAAGTTTCACTTTGGATCGTAGTGGGAAAGACATTTTCTTAGATGTCTTAAAAAATGTAAAATTGCCGGATGGATATGCATCTAATATATCTAGCTGCGTTGATGCGAAGAATCAAAAGCTATCTGGTCTTAAATGTCATGACTCTCATATTATAATGAGAGATTTATTGCCAGTAGCAGTTCGGGATCTGTTCCCACAAGATGTAACATCTGCCATTATTGAGTTATCTCGTTTTTTCCGAAATATATCAGCAAGAGTCATTGATCCAGATGAATTAGATAAACTGCAGGAGCATATTATAATGACTTTATGCCATTTGGAAATGGTATTTCCTCTCTCATTTTTCACTGTAATGGTACATCTAACTGTGCATCTCGTCGAAGAAGTAAAACAAGGTGGACCAGTGGCTTTTCACTGGATGTATCCAATTGAAAGGTAATCATCATAAACTATTAGTCACATAATTTTTTCATGACTGGTGAATATAGGAGTATCTCACATAATTAATATATGTGCAGAACACTTGGACATTTCAAATCTTATGTTCGTAATCGTGTCAGACCCAAAGGATCAATATGCGAACAATATTTGGCTGATGAATGTGTTACATTTTTCTCAAAGTATCTCAATGATATAGAGACAAGATTCAACATAGTTGGAAGAGTTGATGACCGGCCTTCACCAGTGCAAAATCATACATCAAACTCGGAGCTTCGATTAAGTTTCCCAAATGTAGGCCGATTCGTCGGAGCTGGTCAGGTTTATACACTTAGTTAGTTATGTCGAGAGACAACAGGCGCATCGGTTTATATTGATAAATTTTCAATTCCTAGATCCTTTGAGAGAGTAAGTTTTCCATATTAATCAATACATATTCTATTTTAAATTTGTTTTCCTTTATTTTAAATAACAAACCATTTATATTTATTGGTTAATTTAGGCGCTACAAGAAAGAGCTTAGCAAGAAAAAGATTCGCCAAAGCAAGCAGAGCCACGTCTTAGATTTTGACAGAGAAGTGCATCTTAATTTTGGGAAATGGCTAAAAGATAGGGTGGAAAAAAATGATGTTGAAGGTGTGTCTGATGATATTAGAAGCTTAGCTTTGGGTCCGTCTGAAAAAGTAGTGAAATATTCATCATATAATATCAATGGGTATAAGTTTAGAGCATCAGGAAGAGGCGATGGCCTGAAGACACAAAATAGTGGTGTTTATGTGAATGCTGATTCGGTGAGTTATGCGAGCTCGCGTGATCAAAATCCTAAAGCAGGAGATACAGCTTGTTATGGGAAGTTAGTAGAAGTTATCGAACTAAACTGACATTTTTAGAGTTGTGCTTTTCAAGTGTAAATGGGCTGATACTCGCAGTATTCGAGGCTACAAACATGATGCTTATGATCATAACATGGTGAACTTTGATCGTTTGTTACACACGGGGGATGAAGAAGAAGACGAACCGTATGTCTTGGCCTCTCAAGCAAAAATGGTGTATTATGTAGAAGACCCATGTGAGAAAGGATGGAATATTGCTGTGCATGTCCAACCTAGAGATTTATATGACATGGGGGATAGTAGCATGTGACCATTGGTTCGATTATTTATTTTATTAGCTACTACAGTTCTTATGTTTGGTTCTCGTTTTAATATTGACTCTTTTTTCACCAGCATAAAACAACACACAACATGGTGTGCATAGAGATAAATAAACACAAAACATGAAACAAAAGAAAAGTCTGGAAAACATAACTGCATAAATTATAGAGAAGTGATGATACAACATAACAAGGCAATCACCAGCCAAAGGCGTTGAAGGATCAGAGAAACACTTGTAACTAATGTTGAAGATTGGGTTATCAGCTTTGAGCTTCTCACTCGGCTCATCTTCCAAAGTTTCCACAACAACACTGTTGAGCTCCAAGGGTAGGTAAGCCTCCAAACGAGGATCTTCTTTGGAGAAGAAGGCGGCTTACATGAGAAGTTGATTTCTCTACACAAGCCCTTAATTTGAAATACAGATCAAAACCATAGCGTGATCACTCTGAAGCTGAGATGTCCCAAAGCTTACATAAAATGTCTGAACTTCAGGCGCATATCCAAGAGAAGGAGAGACAGTTCGCTGAATTGCAGGAACATGTTAGTTTTCCTGTGTGTTTTGTTACACGATCTTGCAGTTGCCATGTTTGAAGTTTTGAGTACCTTAAAGCCAGAGTCTTTATCCTAGGATTGCTCAAGAAACAATCATGTACAAGGATGAGCAACTGAGAGAAGCGCAAGGTTAGATTGCACGTGCCCAAGAGATTCTTTCTCTTGTCGAGATAATTCCCAATTTCACAAGCCCTTAATTTGAAATCTCTCAAAAAATCTAGGATCTAATTAATCATGAAAAATAATTTTTTTTACATTAGGCGGCAAGTGAAATATACTTCTATTTTACATTAGGCGGCAAGTGAAATATATTTATAACTTATATATTAACTCACCATAAACGTATTAGGGTTTTCAAGAGAAGCATATCATTGAAATCACCCTACGACGTTTAGCGAGGTACAAGAAACACCCGTTTCCTCCAGTTTTTGTGTCGCTAGATTTTATAGCGTCATCAAAGTCTTTGAATTTCCAGCCGCTGTGTGTTTAGCATCATCAATCGGTAGCTGTTTTAACTTTCGATTCTGCTTTTTTGGTCTCCGTTGCCGTAGTTTTTGAACTCTGCCGCTAGAAGTAGCGGTGATGAAACGGACAGGCCTATTGAGTTTCATTGATTTCTCTATTATTGATTTGGTTTCATTGATTTCTTATTCATTGGTGTTACTGCTGTTTAGATTCTTTTGACTTGCTTATAAGATATCTATGAATAATCCTACGCTTGTTTAGTTTTAGTGGTGAAATCTGAGAACCAGCTTTTTTTTAGATGTACATACTCTTGCTCTGTTTTTAGTTCACAAAAACAGAGCCCTCTGTTTTTAGTTCACAAAAGCAGAGCCCTCATGTCTCTGTATTTGGTCAATAGTTTTCATCAGTATTTTTTTTGGTCAATATTAACTAGGTTTATATTTTTCTGTGTAGAGCTATGTTCTTTATAGATTCTGATGATACACAAGCACCGGATGACTCGCAGCTTTTAGAGACGGAGTTAGATTTCAGTTGTCCACCACAATTTGCTCCAGAGTGTAACACTTTCAAATGGAAAGTGAAAATCAGAGGTGACGTTCAGTTTTTTTATTGACACAAATAATTGTTTATAACTAAATGTATATATATATATATATATATTTTTTTTTTTAGTGGAAAACGGGAATACGTTGCTTCCTGGTACAGACTAATGCGTTGTCTGATTATTTAGTTTTGATAACTAATGCATTGTCTGATTATTAAATAGATTCAAATGGAGAAATACAAGAACAAACGTTGACAACAAAAGAAGTTTGGAAATTGCAAAACCGCAAGTGATAATTCATTTTGATGAAGATTGTGGTCAGCCTGATGAAGATTCTGGAGGTTTATTAGGGTCTTGGTTAGGTCAGTTGAGTAATGATGTTAATTTGTTGCCAATTGACTATGCTGATTGGAGGGTATTCGCTCCTCATCGGAAGGACAAAGCCTGGGACATTATTCTGGTAACAAAAAAATATTATTATTCTTACAACATAGTTATTGGTTTTTATATTTTTCATACTATTTTTTTGTAATAAAAAGCTATGGCATTTGTTACAGACTAAATTCTGGTTTGATAATCCGGACAAGAAAAAGAACTATGTTCTAAGTGTATTAGGGAGCAGATGCAAGGATTTTAAAGTTCGTCTCTGGAAGATGTACAAACGGAATGACCGTACTGAAACCATACAGAATCGTCCTGCCATGGTTCCAGAAGATCAGTGGAATGGTTTTGTTTTCTATAGATTCAGTGAAAAATGGAAGGTATGTTTATGTATTGAATATAAGATAGATTTATACATATTACAAGATTTGGGAGTAACTCAGAAAATGCGTGAACGGAATATCAATAACCAAAAAAAGAATACTTTACCACATGTCTGCGGAAGAAAGAGTTTTGCGAGGAAGCGACAAAACATTGTAAGTAATTTGTGTTTTTATGATTTTTTGATTCTTCATACCATTCGTGTAGGTACATATTTATATTTGTATTGGACAATAAGTTAAATATTTTTTCTTATATTTTCTTTAGAAAGACCAAACATGAAGAACACCATGCAGAGCAGAATTTTTCATTGCAAGCCGTAAGAAGTCTGATGGAACTTTTGTTTGTGAAGAAGCAAAAACTCGTGCGGTTAGTTCTTTTAAATATAAAAATTTATTTCCAATATTTATAAAACTATTAAGTTATACATGTTTATATTGTTTAAATATTTCAGGATGAACTCACACTTTTGATGAGTGAAAATCTTTCAGTTGAAAGGTCAAATATCACTGCTAGTTTAGACGATGAGTATTCCAAAGTTTTTGGACCAGAGCGATCAGGACGAGTCCGGTGCCTAGGACGTGGACCTACACCTTCAAAGCTATTGAAAATGTCCAGTACTCCAAATGTAGAAGCGTCAAATTCTGAAGTTGTTGAGCTGAAGTCACAAGTTTCAGGATTGCAAAGCCAAGTCCAGAATTTAGCAGGAATGATCCAACAACTAGTTGGTGCTACTACTATTCAGGTTATTTTATATTAATTAGTGTTTTATATTTTATTTGCTGTATTTTATTGTTTACTAAATACTACTTATATGCAGTCTAATGGAACGGTGCCAAATTTAGCTGGTGTTCTGTCAAACTTGGCCAATCAACCAAATTTTGCTGATAATTTATCAAATTTGGTCAATCAACAGAATTCTGAGGTACTTTACGAGTTTAATGTTAAAACATATTTAATTTAAACATTACTCTTTGATTAAAAGGAAATAAATCTTCTAGTATTTTCTTATAGGCAATCAAAAATAGAGATCATGTGAATTAGAGTATGGCGGCATGCACTTTTAATAATAGCTAAGACCATTGGTTGGATTATTTATTTTATTAGCTACTATAGTTCTTATGTTTGCTTCTCGTTTTAATATACGACTTTTGTATGCATTTTGATATTTGTCTGAAAAATAATTTATTTATTTTATATTATTAATTTTTTATTTTATTTTAATGAATTTAAATTTGTAATTACAGAAGAATTTATATCACTTCAGTTAATAAGTGATGTGTAAGTATTTGTAGCAAGTATATCAAATGATGCAACAGTGTTACATTAACATCAATTAAATTAAGTGAAACATTTTTTTTCCAATCACTTAACAAAAGCGTTACAATAATTAGTATCAGTTGTTATAAGTGATAATACATTTCCCATCGTTTATAAGAAGTAATGCTACTGTTAACATCACATATTTCAAATGATATAAAAATACATCATCTATAAAACGTGACGCAAGTATTTACAACGTTTAAAATAATCGATACAAATAATTAAATCATTTACGCTAAGTGTCACTAATATCTATATCAGTTATGATAAGGGATGCATTATAGTATCAGTTATTATAATTGATGGAAGTATAACCATCAGTTACTGTAACCGATGCCGTATATTGTATCGCCACTATCAGAACTAATTATTTAAGTGATGGTAATACATTTGTGTCATTCAATAAGTGATATAAATTTTAAAAATTAGTGATACTACAGACCTTGTTTTTTGTAGTGTTATATGTATAATTTATATTAATAATATTATGTCTTGGAATTAAACATGTGATTTTCATATGTAATATCTAATACCTTTAGTTATTACTTGAGTATATTATATTGCATCTGGTTCTTTGAACTTAACCGTAATATTTTCTTTCTCTAAATAAATTAATATTTTGATAATTTTTTATTTTACATTTAGTTTTCGTTTAAATATATTTTAGGAGAAAATTTTGTAAGAAGCGAAAAGAGAAAATAAATAATGTGTAGATTAATTAAACTTACATAAAAGAATATAAAGATAATATTTTGAATCTCATGCATATATATTTTTTTACAAAAGAAATAAATTGTTAAAGTAGTTAATGTTTATTTTAATATGTTTTGAGGTATCCATAATTTATATTGAATAAAAACTAGTAAATATTACTATAAATAATATGCTTTTATTTTATCATTTTTCTTTATAATAAGATAATATGTATAATAAAATATTACTTTAAAATAGTCTCTTTTTATTTAATTATTTCTTCATGTCAAGATTAATTTGATTAACTTTCCTTTTTTATTAAATAACATTATATATTACAAAACAAAATGTTTTCAGATTTCAGATTGTCCTTTTTACTATATCTGTTATTAGAAAAAAATTAAAATAAATTTAACTAACAGAAATTACCAAATAAAAAAAGAAAACAAAATTTAATAATGGTAATTTTAAATTTATTAAGGATACTTCCGTAGTCAAACCATCACGGAAATTAACGTGAGTATGATACGTGAAAACATCACTAATTTCCTCCATAGATTTTCCTCTTGGCTCAGAATGGGTTTCATTAGTTATTAGAGTGATTACAAAGATGATTATTAGAAAAGTTCTGCTCCCCTGTATTTTGGGCTTAATTGTATGAATTACTTCAGCTGGAAAAGGAAGAAAATGATCGGATGATTATGGTATAGTGGTAAGAAGGTGGGGTTGAGACACCAACATGTTTTAGTTTTGATTTATCTGCTGTGTTTAATTATTTTTAGTCATCTAACATGTATATGAATTCATGCTTTAGGACCTATTTGAATATTCGAAGAGAAATTTTATTTATCGGCTGCACTTCCTTTTAGGACTCAGTCTAGGTTTCTTTATGGATCTAGGATAGTCATCGGTTAATTCAGAAAAAAAAAAAAGAGATAAGTCGTGCTTATATTGGTGGCAGATATCCAATGGGCTTTGTCTGGCGATATTGGGTTTCATATTAGCGAGCCTTTACGGTATATTGAGCAAGAGTTAGAAGTAAGAACTAACTCCCAGGCTAATATATAAAGTAATAGGGCTAATAGCCTGTAAATATGTACTCGTTTTGATACGTATACATATTATGTTCTTCATAGAACTATATATATATATATATATATATAACAATAGTTGAACACAAGAGTTGCTGGCAGTAAAGTTTACACAATATATTTAGATTTTGCTATCCGTATCGAAGCACACATGAAGAAAAACAATATTGTCCACCAGATGATAAGTACACAAGATTGTGTCACAAGTTAAGCCCATAAACCCATATGTTTAAGACACAGCAATATATACACATGTACTGACAATCAATGAACTAGCTTTGAGGATTGACATTTGGACAACTCTGTTTTTCCTCATTTCAGCTTTAATCAAAGAGTATATCCTAGTTTAGTGTTCCTAGAAGTTGAAAATAGTTTTAGACTTTTACTTTTCTTTTAAATTTCATTAAGTTATATATATAAAAGACCTATAATTTATCTTTTTCGGATATGATATATAGACGAAAAGATGATACCATAGGACAATGTTCGGCATTAGAAACCAAAAATATGTGAATGAGTCAGCATTGGTGCCGATGAATATATCTAACTGATAGAAACGAATTGACGAAATGATTTCTTAATCGAACTCGGGTCTCTCAAACTCCGATAGATAACTATTTCCTGTCCGATATTACACGATCGTGGTGAAGTGCCTTCCAATTTTCCATACGACCAACAAATTTGTCTCCTTCTCGTGTATCATTTGGTAGGGACTCAATGATTTTTCTTTTGAAACAAAGTTATATAGAGTGAAGCAACTCGTTCGTTTTAAGATATCAAAAGAGATGTATGTAACTTTGAAACTAGAAAAAAAAACTTTGAAACTTAGACGATATATAAAGTAAATCATGTGCAGTTAATCAATTTTATATGATATATCATATACGTAACTGATGTCTTAGATCCCACGACAAGCTATAACAATATTGTACATAGGCCCTTTGTGTATTATACCCTAACAATTGAATAATACATAGTACTCTATTTACTCTATGCAACCGGATGATGGTTATCACATACATCGAAGTCACCAAATGACAGAATACAAAGGTATGCTTAGTTAAAAGCTACACGAGAAGCATAAACTATGCAATTAGGCTATTATAGGGTTCCTCATATTACATAAGCTTTTTATGGTCTTGATTCCTTCTATGCCAAATATATTAATACATTTTGTACAGTTTTGACAACATGACATTGTTTTGTTACACTGATCATGTGAAGATATGGTTTCTAGAATATCTGTGAAAACCATTATATATGCGGTATGCTGATTTTAGTACGTCTTCGACGAAAAATATAATTAGACGTTGTCAGAATGGTGCACAATTATTAGTTTTAGTTACGAAAACAGACATATTTGACTATGATAATAAAATTTCTATTAGACTAACCTAGATAAGTTTAAGTATAATAATAACACATATCTTTCGATTATCTCGGAAAGTTTCTTATTCTCAAACATAATCAATTTTCGTAATGAATATGTGGTTTATTGTTAAGCTATAGCACATATTCAATAAAGATTAGGCGAAAAAAACAATTCTTTTTGGTTCATATACTCGGTCAACTTAGAGATTTACGAATTACGTGACAATAACCTTTTGTTAAAATATTCAAATTCTATTTTTCATATGATTTCTCTTTTTGTTGTAAAAATTATATTTAGAGTTATTGGATTATTTTATTATAATATAATAAATGTCGACATAACTCGTGATAAGATAATATAATTTTTTTTCCCATCATCCTAAACTTAAACTATATTAATGGTCCATATTCTATAAAGGTGAAGCATGTGACATTATAATAATATCTATGCATATACAATAAATTGTTATTCCAAATCTATACCATAAACTCATAAAATATTTCATTTAAAACTAATTATGGAAGCAAGCCTTCCTTTTTCGCCAAACTATAATTTCCTCCTCTACTATATGAATAGGGTGGTCCAATAAATTATTGGAAAATTTTAAAATACGAATTATTGGTATATTCCCTCTTCTCAGTTTGTTGCAAGCATAATTTTCAATTTTTATAGAAAAGCGTCCAGAATTTTGAATATAATTCCGTGATAACTTAATATTAATCTTTTTATAGCTACTAAATTTATAAATTGGTTTCAGAAAGAATGAAGTAGAGGCGAAATCGTAATTATATAGAAATTAAGGTCATTTTCTTATTTTTTTGGAATTGAACATTTTCTTGTATTATTGGTCGAAGCCTCGAACAGTTGGAAGATGAATTTTATAATATCATACATGTTATTAGGCACCGAACTGTCAAGTGGATTCAACTATGACGCAGATAGGTCATCTTTAGCGAATTTTTCAGGAACTGATCACTTTTCTATTTGTTTATAGTTCAGATGAAATAGTAATTCTCTAACATTCAAATTTAAATTTAATAAGCTTTGACATTTGTTGCTGTGCTGAACACTATTTAATTTAAGAAACGACACGAGTCAATTTGTTACCCTATGTTTTTATAGTTAAGAAAAGGGAAAATTATTTAAAAATACACTAATTGATTTATATTAATTAATAAAATACATGAACTATTTTGGATTCTTGTTTAATATATAAACTAATTTTTGTTACCTATTAAATACATAAACTTTTGAAATTCAAAAATTTTACACATCGTTTTTAACGACGTTAACTATATTTAACGGATCTGTCGAAACGTTAGTATTTAATTAAACACATGTTTAAATTATAAAAATAAATTCCTTAAAAATACACAAACTAATTTTCATTTGTTAATAAAATACATAGACTATTTTAGTTCCCGTTTAATACACAGACTAATTTATGCTTTCAATTAAATACACCAATTTTTGAAATTTATATTTTACACATCGATTTAGCTGATGCTAACTATGTTTAGCATGATTTAGACGATGTTAACTATGTTTAACAAAAGTGAAGAAGATGTTAGTGGTTAATTATATATATGTGAAGAAAAAATTCCTTAAAAATCATCCAGCTAATTATATTGTTAGTTTTCTTCTCTATTACGCTTTCATAGTGTAGATTTTTTTAAATGGAATTTCAAATTTATTGATCATAGTAGAGATAATAGATGTACAACCTAATTTATAATAAGAAACTTATTGATCATAGTGTAAATTAACATTGATTAAATCATTATCACTACAACTAAAGCAATGAATAAGAATAAGAAATACATAATAATAAACTAATTCCAAACTCAGAAACTCGTTTCAAATGACCTAATCTTTTTCGTCGTTTTTCACGAGGTCGATATAAAGGGAAATCAAAGCGAAAAATAAGAAAATGAACATAATTTAGAGAATAAAATGGATTGGAACAGATTACGGTGTTAAATTCGAATTGAAACTAACTTGAGAAGTTTTGGAAGGTGAGCGTGTTTTTCACATTTTTACCACATGTTTAGTTAAAACTAACATCATCAATATAGTCCTAAATCGATGTGTAAACTGCAAATTTCAAAAGTTGGTTGAAAACATAAATTAGCATGTGTATTAAACGGGGATCTTAATAGTTCGTGTATTTTATTAACAAATAAAAATTAATTCGTGTATTTTTAAGGAATTTTATTTTTATAATTTAAATATGTGACATGTGTTTAATTAAACACTAACAGCTTCTACAAATCTGTTAAATATAGTTAACGTCATTAAAAACGATGTGGAAAATCTTTGAATTTTAAATGTTTGTGTATTTAATAGGTAACGAAAATTAGTTCATGTATTAAACAGAGATCCAAAATAGTTTGTGTATTTTATTAACAAATATAAATCAGTTCATGTATTTTTAAGAAATTTTCCCTTAAGAAAACACTTCTATAAAACTCTCAAATCGTATCTTAGGGATTTAATTTCTACTTGGTTGTATGATTTGTTTCTAACAAATAATTAAATAACATATATTGCAAATATAGTCATTTTCAATATATAGTGCATATAACAACAATATATATATATATATATATATATATATATATTAATCCAGTCTATTATGGACCACAGTTCAGCTTAAAAAGAAATTTCCAGCTATGTATAAATCTTGTAGCTTATCATTTTTTAAAAATATGTGAAGTTCGTCAATAATCAATTAAGTAACATTCCTGTACAAATTAGCTGTTGCAAAAGCGTTGAAGATGCGGAGTGAACCAACAACCATTTTAGCAAAGAGGAATATCGAAAAGTTTCTTCTTTTTCTTGACAAAGGGCTTTTTTTTTTGACAAAGGGCTTGAATATCGAAAAGTTAAAAAACAAGTAAATTATATACAAAGACCAAATATTCTTTTTACTAGTTTTCCATTAAGATGCATGCAGCAAACGTGAGGCAAATAAAGAATTCCAGATAAAAGCAATAACTTAGAGATTTACGAATTACATATAAATAAACGTAATCGTGAATAAAAGAACAAGTTTTTTTGTTTGAACTGAATTTTATAATTATAATTTTTAATAAAAGAACAAGTTTCCATAGCACATCCATGATCCATAGTTTATAAGAATTGTGTGTGTTTTCGTAAAAGAAAAAGAATTGTGTGTGTGTATATTATATCCCACAAATGAAAGTAAAAAAAAATAAATACAAAAATAATAACTCCGAACCAAAATATTTTTTTTCCCTTTACAAACTTATATAATTACTTTATAACTTTGAAATAAAAATAATATAGAATTTTTATTTTTATAACTTTGGAATAAAAATAATTTAGAAAAAATACATAGAATACTGTCGCCAGTAGGAAGACGGAGGAGTCATAACAATGAGAGCATGTACATCAATGAACCCCTCTTGGGGTTCATCTTTTAATATTTTATTATTTTATTTTTTTTCTATCAGATTTTTAAAAAAAAAAAAAAAAAAAAATAATAATTGAACCAATCCCCTTCCGACACGTGGTGAACTCTACCCTCTTGGGGTTCACCGGGATGAACTTTTGGAGAGAGAAGTTCATCACTGTTCATCTAGAAAACTGTGTGAACCTCCTTATAAACTCCTTATGAACCCTCAATGCACATGCTCTGACATAATGGCTGGTCAAAAAAACCGCCAAAACAGTTCTGTTTTAATTTGGGAGAAAAATAAATTAAGACTTAACTATTCCAGTCAAAAAACTTCTCTTGTTTTCCTTAATCACTTGTCTAAAGCTTAATTAGTCACTTAATTTGAAACTTATAACACGCCTTTCACACATCGACAACACCTTCATCTCCTTTCTTTCTCTCTCTCTCTCTCTCAAACCTGCAAACATGGCTGTTCCTTTGATCCTCAAGAACCAAACAGATCACCGACAAGATCCAAATCCGGACACGACCCATCTCTCCTCTTCGCTTCAAGAAGCCAAATCAATCGCCAAAATATCTCTCCCAATGATCTTAACCGGTTTACTCCTCTACTCTCGCTCAATGATCTCAATGCTTTTTCTCGGCCGTCTCAACGATCTCCCTGCTCTCTCCGGCGGATCACTAGCCCTCGGTTTCGCCAATATCACCGGATACTCTCTCCTCTCCGGTCTCTCCATCGGCATGGAACCCATCTGCGTTCAAGCCTTTGGCGCCAAAAGATTCAAACTCTTAGGCCTTGCTTTGCAAAGAACCACACTTTTGCTCCTCCTCTGTTCTCTCCCCATCTCTATCCTCTGGCTCAACATCAAGAGGATTCTATTATTCTTCGGACAAGACGAAGAAATCTCGAACCAAGCTGAGATCTTCATCCTCTTCTCTCTCCCTGATCTGTTTCTTCAATCTTTGTTACATCCTCTCCGTATCTACCTCCGATCTCAATCCATCACTCTTCCTCTTACATACTCTGCTTTCTTCGCTGTGATGCTTCACATTCCCATCAACTACCTTCTTGTTTCTTCCCTAGGGTTCGGTCTTAAAGGCGTAGCCCTGGGCGGGATCTGGACTAATGTAAACCTCCTAGGGTTTCTGATCATCTACATCGTGTTTTCGGGTGTTTATGAGAAGACTTGGGGAGGATTCTCTATTGATTGCTTTAAAGGATGGAGATTATTAATGAAGCTAGCAATCCCTAGCTGCGTTTCTGTTTGTTTAGAATGGTGGTGGTATGAAATAATGATTCTTCTTTGTGGACTGTTACTTAATCCGCAAGCAACCGTCGCGTCTATGGGAATCTTGATCCAGACCACTGCTTTGATCTACATTTTTCCTTCCTCTCTTAGTGTCAGCGTCTCTACACGCGTAGGGAACGAGCTAGGCGCGAATCAGCCTGATAAGGCAAGGACTGGTGCGATAACCGGACTTTGTTTAAGCCTAGGGTTAGGTTTACTCGCCATGTTTTTCGCGTTGATGGTTAGGAACTGGTGGGCTAGATTGTTCACGGTTGAAGAAGAGATACTGAAGTTGACGTCCATGGTTTTGCCGATCATCGGGCTTTGCGAGCTAGGGAACTGTCCTCAGACCACAATGTGTGGAGTTTTGAGAGGAAGTGCTAGACCTAAACTAGGAGCAAACATAAACCTGTGTTGTTTCTACTTTGTGGGAATGCCTGTGGCTATATGGTTAAGTTTCTTTAGAGGGTTTGACTTCAAGGGACTGTGGTTAGGTCTGTTTGCAGCTCAGGGCTCGTGTCTGGTTTCAATGTTGGTCGTGTTGGCTAAGACTGATTGGGAAGCTGAGGTTCATAGAGCCAAAGAACTCATGACTAGATCATGTGATGATGATGGTAGTGGAAGTAATACGACGCCGTTTTTGTTGGATTCTTTGGACATAGAAGAAAGTGGGAACTATAGGCATTTGAATGTGTTTTGATTTATTGTGACACTAACGACATTTGTTTTCATTGTAAACTCTCTAATTGATTATTTTAGGAAGGAAACACTTCAAACATTTGATCGTTGGATTTTTTTTTTTTTAATGTAAAATATGATTTGTTAAATATATATATTGCACTTTCTAGTTTAATTTCCCCTTGTTGAATAGTTGAAAGCAATGTAAAGTTACAAAATCTTATCTGTCTCCTGTGATTAAATATCATGGGAGTGTCATGATTTCATGAGAATGACTTAACAAACTTTAGTTTTTAACATCAACTATCTTTGTCAAGTGGTTTTGAAGTATATATTATATGCATGTAAGTATGTAAGTGTGTATGTATATATGAATCTAGTTCAGCAATTAAAGGACAATATAGAAGTTGGTTTCGTTGCCGGGAAATTCTTGTGCAAGAGTATGATAAAGAAACGTTTGAATAAACTAAATATTAAAAACACCATGTTTAGTGGTCCCACATGGACGCGTGTGTTACGCGCCTAAGCGCGTGTTAATGAAGGAAGAAGTTGTGATGCAACTTTGACGACGGCGAGAAGCATAACGTCTCCGTCAAGGTCATCGTTTGCGACAGCGAACGCCGTTAACGACCCGCATTTCTTCTTCGTTTACTCTCTTTTGTTACACAAACATCGCCGGCTTGACCCCATAAACATTCCACTAATATTTTTTTTAATGTATATTCCACACGGTTGGAAGATATGTAATAGTACAAATTGAAAATCCATATGTTAGATTACAACTTACGACCACTAAAAAGCCCTTTTTAAAGAAAAGAAAAGGAAAAAAAAAAAAAACTCTACGACTACGACTACTAACCAACGTGTGTTGGTCTAGTGGTAAAGGAACTTCTGCTGGAATGCCCGCCCTGGGTTCGATCCGCGTTGGCCACCAGGAAATTTACATGCGAACTTGTTCTGGCGCCCGAGACCAAAGATCGTGTTCACCTAACTAATACCCACCTTCAGGTGTGCGTCCACGCAAGGATCGGTCTCTAGTCTGGACCACATGGTGGGATCAGGACACTCGGTTATCAAAAAAAAAAAAAAAAACTTTACGACTACTTAGTTATGAGAATGTAGTATAGTTTTTCCATTGTAGACTAAAAACGTAACGATATCATGGTGTGGGTTAGTTGGCTACAAAGAAACAAGAAAGGCCCATAAGATGAAACAAGAAGAAATGCAAATTAGTTGTGAGTTTGTCACTAAAATCGAACCTCTTTTGTCCTCAAGTGTGCCAACTTGCATTATAATTCTGATTTTCAGTTATAAACAAATTTACCTCGAATATTACCGACGAATTATTGACAGACATATTCTCCAAGGATTCCCGACGAAATGATTCGTAAGAAAACATGGTAAATAATTTAACCAACGAACACATATCTTGAGAATATTAGCGATAGACTTATGGTCTTTTACAGATATTACTTTTGTGGAACATTTCTGATGGGCATTTTCCCGTTGTGAATTTTCCTCACGAACTTGTGATAGTCGGAAATTTTCTCAACGACCAATATTCTCCATAAGAAAAAAAATAATTTAGGAACACAACCATCTGTATAGCCATATCCTGATGATCAAAACCCTGAATCCAATTCTTCTGTTAAGACACCAAACCCTATAAAGGGTGAAAGTAGTGAAGGGGCTCTCAAGCGTGAGATCAGTAATTCGGATGTTGAGTTGTCTAAATTAAATCCGATGGCTAAGGAATATGTTCCACAATCACTTGATCGAACCCACTCTTTGTTTGTGACGAATAACTTATGGTTTACCAACGGTTTCACAATGCAAGCTTTTTATGCTCAGGATACGTACTTCTCTTCATACTCTCGCTTCTACCTATCCACCACCTTCAATCACATTCACTACCTTCAATACTCGCATGATCACCTAATTAGAATAACTATGACTTTTGAAGTAATTTCCATCACATTTTAAGCAATCCATCCCTTCTTTTGCATTAAAACACAGCATTTCTGAATCTTTGTCTGTCATTGATAAGTCGTCTGAAAATATGAAAGCTACTTGATACATTTTATTTTATTTCTGAAGGACAACAATTCTTAAATAACATTTAATTTGATCAGGAGGAACCAACAAACATTTACTATCTTTTAGAGAAGAAGTATGCACACTAAAAACCTCACACGGAAAACCTAGATAACATTTTCTATTTCTTTCATACAAAGAAAAACAGAATTTTTGTTTTGATTGTTTTAACTTCAGTAACGATTTGATTGAAACTGATACAATTTTCCTCCGGTTTCTTCTATCATTAACTAAAATACTTAAAAAAGAAAACTTAACAGACGCACATAAATATCTCACTGCCTGTTGTTTTTTTCTTTCTCATGACTAACCATTTATGTATCCTATAATTAGCTTATACAAATTCAGAACAAAGTATATATACCTTTCCAAGATCTAAAATCAAAAGCACTTCCTTCTCATATTTCTCTGCCTTTTAAACTTTTTAAAAAAAAAAAACATTTCCTTGCCATAAGCAATACAACCATGGCGAGGATCTCTTTGTTGTTATCTTTAGCCTTCTCTCTCGCCCTTGGCTCAATGTTCCTTTCCGTTGATAGTTATGAACCTCCGTCACCATTATTTCCAAAAACCGTATCCGAACTCCATACCTTACCCTTTGCTAAAATCACTGAGATCATAAACCATAAAGAAAAGTTTGCCCCAAAAACCGCCAAAATTAAGGCAATGTTCACAGTGTGCAAAGGCTATGTCAAGTACCTTGAGAGCCTCTACAAACTTGGGAAGCCCGTCGTAGATGTTTCTGGAATTGCCAAGACCAAATATGCCCTAACAACCAAAGCTATTCTTTCAGTGGAAGCTAGTATTAGTGGTAAAGTCGATAAGAAAACTTCCTTGAAGCTAAAGGAAAGCTGTGTTGGTTTTATAAAAGGGCTTCGTCATATTCAAAATGTAATCTCAAAGATCTCAGCCAAACATAATTACAAGGCTGATGCTAGCATCAGCTTACGTGAATCGAATAAGATTGGTGCTGCTATACTATATTTCAGGAGTTCGATCACTGATTTCATGGATCTAGTTAATGATTTTGAGGAACAGAAGCTGAAGAAAGTTGCTCATCATGCAAGATCACTTGAAGAAGGAAGAGAATTAACCGAAGAAAAAGCAGGGAACAACACCACTGAAAAAGTCAACGGTTCGGACCATAGTAAGTATGGAAAGTATTTCCAGTTCTTTGGTTCTTTCCTAGAAGGTAAGCAACACGGAAGAGAGTTAACCGAAGAACAAACAGGTGGAAAAATCAACAATTTGTATGAGAAATTTGCTAAATATATCCCTTACCTCAATGGTAAAGATCATGGAAGAAAACTACTAGAAAATAAAGCAGGAGCCAATGCCGAAGCTCAGAGCAGTGGAGAATTTAAAGGTTTATTCAAATATTTCTTCAACTTCAATGGTGGTGAAAAAGTTCGACTTGGTGCTGCTAGGCAGATCAAAGTCGCCGGAAAAAATTGATTCAGGTCACTGAACTGGGCACATACATTATAAACTATTTTTCTCTAAGGAAGCACAATATCATGCAATTCATCAAAACAGATGAAGGAAGCCATGAGTTCATCTTTATTTAGCTTTTTTTTTCTCCCTTTTATTATTATTGTGAAAGAAAATTACATGGGATGCTTATCTATATATAACTAAATGAAACTTGCGGTATCTCTACCTAATAATTTTCTTATCGCATAATTAAACAATAGGCTGAATAACTATATATATATTTTCTTCTGTCATTTTCCTTAATATTTTTACTTTAATACATCTTGTTATTTTAATAATAAAAAATGGCAATATTTAGTTTTAAATTTTATTTTATTTATAGTTAATAACTAGTTCTTATTAAAATTCAATTTTAAATTTAGGTTTGATTTATTTGAGTGCTATTTTAATTAAATATTTAATTAATAATTGAATGATATTGCCATAAAATTAGATGGAAACTATCGTATTTGTGGAAATCACTGTAAGAACTTTTTTGAAGACTTCTGGTAATTTAGTGTCATCTCTAATTTAAAGGAAATTTCTCACAAATTATGAAGAAAAAAAATCGACCAAATAGCACTGACGAATGTTTTCGACTAGTTTGTTGGAAATAGCCATTTTCAGCAAAAATATGGTGGTTTTTGTTGTTGGCTTCTGATATATTTTCTAGGAAAATTGCATCTCATAGCTACACAAAAAAAAAAAAAAATTAGGTAACTAACCAAATACCCCTTCTCTTTATCCATCCTCTTCCTATCTCTCTCTTCTCTCTCTAAAAATCTAGTTTTCTTTTTCTTTATGGCTATTTCACAAATAAGCCCTATTTTCTAGTGGTGTAAGCACAAAATAAGAAGTGCTTAAAGTTGCACTGACAAGATAAGACAAACAATGTCGTCAAGACAAAGGGCATAGCCATAGACGCAATACAGAGGAATAATCACTTATGTCTATCCAATGCCATGCACTTTTATAGTCTTAAATAAGAGAATAATTCATCAAAATAAGAATTTAGGAACACATCCATCAGTTCTTGTTCTGCTATAGCTTACTCCTCTTCATACTCTCGCTTCTTCCTCACTACCTTCAATCCTTGCAGCACCTTAATATAAAAATAGAAAATTCCATAAAAGTACATCAACTAACTTTTCTTAAAATTTTTAATATTCAATATTCTTTGATATGCAGTTTAATATTTCAACTAATTATTTTGTTCATTTTAATACATAAACTATTAAAACTGTGTCTATTTTAATATCCAAACATGATTTATTTTATTATAAATTCTAAAGTGTTTCAGTTGAATTTTAAAACTTGATTTGAAATGCAAAAGTAAACCCAAACTTGAATCAAATGCAAAAGTAACTTAAAAGGCTGTTGAAATTACAACCAACCTCTTGTGAACAACCAAAAAAAGAGTCTTTTTTTTTTACGTTTCTAGCCCTCGCAAGTCGTCTGGGACAGTTTTTCTTAAAAATAATTTAAAAATTGTGTAATAAATATCTTGATAAATGAAAATTGGGATTATGTAATTAACATATGTCTTAAGCGATATAAATTAAGATATAAAAAAGTCAGTTGTTTTCAGCATAGATGAGTGAAAGTAGTGAGTGA